CTGGGGCGCGGGGCGGAGCCCGAGCTGGAGGACAGCTCAGCCGTGGGACGGGAGGAGCCGTTCTGGTTTTATACTAAGGGTGATGGGAAGGAGGCCGCCGGGGCCATGAGGAGCCGCGCTGCCGCCTGGGGCTGAAGTTGGGAGCCAGGGCGCGTCGGGGAGGATGGGGTTTTGCGGGTGCCCTTCCTGCCGGCTCGGAAGCCACCCTACCTCGTTATCCTCCTCGGCCTCAGCGCTTTCCAACCTTCGGGGGCCAACAAAGCGGAGATGGCGACGCATGGACACCGTGCTGCCCACGGCGCCGGGCGCCCCTCCTGCGAGCCGGGAGGGTGGAGAAGGGAGCTCAGCGGAGGACTCAGGGCACAGAGGGAAGGGGTTTTCTCATCGCTAAGGCTGCACAGATTTGGGGACGGCACTGTGCTTCCGGCGCCCTCCCAGGGTGCCCGCAGAGCAGCCTGGAGCAGCACAAGGTCACACGCTCCCAGGACGGCTGCTGAGGGCAGGCTGGGTCGGGCCTGAGGGCCACAGAGCAGAACTCGCTGGGAGCCGCCAGGGCAAGATGGGAAGAGATGCCAGCACAGAAACAGACCGGCGTGTGGAAAGCACACTCAGGGTGGATGCCAGCACTTTTTTTTTTTTTTTTTTTTTTTTTTGCCCAAATTTTGGAGGAGACCTGTAGAATATATCATTTATATGGGCTCAGAATATTCTAAAACTAGTTCTAGGAAACTAGTGCACTGAGTTGTCACTAGGAAGGAAAAACTAGGCGGGCCACGGTCTGTCCTTTGTACCCTTTGATTTGGGGACCACGTGAGTGTGATAGTTATCGGAGAAAGAGAGAGGGAAGCGGAGAGGATAAAGAAAGAGGAGGAGGAGGAGGGCCAGGATTTAGCTCAGTGGTGCTGCTGCCTGTCTTGCAGGCACAAAGACCTGAGTTCGATCCCTGGTACCCAGCAAAAATACGTAAATAAATTAATTAATTAAATTTTTAAAAAAAGAGGGGAGGGAGGGAAAGACTGTTGGCTCCAGGGTCAGAGAGACAAGAACTTTGGCGTTTCCACCTTCCCAGCTGCAGGACCTCATCCAAGCTACTCAGCCTCTCCACGTGTCCCTGGCCTGTCAGAGGATCCAGCCCTCAGCTGGCACGGTTGCTGCCACTGTGTGACCAGCCAGGGGTCCCCACCCTGCAGTCCACCCCAGCTTCCTGCAGTTCACCTCGTTTGATGTCCCAGGCACCCAGCCGGGAGCACCCGCACCAGCCGGCCGAGAATGACTTCCCGTGCGCCAGCCTGGAAACAGCAAATGCAGTCCAGGGAACTCTCAGAGCGCTAGAGGGGTGCGAACGGTTACCAGCACTTTGGAAAGCAGCTGGTCATTATCTCCTGAGGCTGGCAGTGTGCGGTGGTCCCTAGGACCGCAGAGAGATTCATTCCCAGCCCCACGCCCCCTCCCACAGGAGAGACAGTTTAGGACTGTCACACCGGCGCTGCACAGGAGAGACAGTTTAGGACTGTCACACCGGCGCTGTCCCTAGGATTGAAGGCAAATGTCCTCAAAGAGTGCAGTGAAATACTAATCGCGGTGTCTTCACACCGTGGAATTCCGTAGGAGAGAACATGAACTACGTCAGGACCCTAATCAGGGGTAAGATAAGCAAATTGCAGAAAACTATTTGTTCAAAATCCAGAAAGCCAAGGAACTACACAATATTCATTATTGTATTCATTTTCTTTAATATATTATATACAATGTATATTCATAATAGATACAATAACTATTATATAATACTGTATATTATTATAGTCTATATTATTTGTTTATAATATTTTGCTGATTATAGTAAATATATATTTATTATATTTTAAATAAGTGACAGGATTATAAAGGAAAAGAAGGGAATGATAATAAAATTCAGGGTAGCCGGGCGTGGTGGCGCACGCCTGTAATCCCAGCACTCGGGAGGCTGAGGCAGGAGGATCGCTGTGAGTTCGAGACCAGCCTGGGCTACATAGTGAGTTCCAGGTCAGTCTCAACTACATCGTGGGACCCTGTCTCAAAACAACAAAACAAAAAAACCCCCAACAACAAAAAAAATTCAGGGTAGTATTTAGTGGAAGAGGAATGGGGTTAGGAAAAAGGGCGCACAGAGTTTAGAAAGCCTGGTGTAAGGCATGGCGGTGCAGTACAACGTAGGAGACTGGAGCAAGAGAATCACGGGGCCCAGGGATCTGAATCCAGCCTGGGCAACACAGCCTGTTTTAAAAAAAAGACGGAAAAGGGGAAAGGGAAGGGAGGAGGAGGGAGGGAAAGGCCCAGCTTTTCTCCTCCAGAGCAGGATCTGGATACTGGGTAGATTTATTGTATCATAAGTGTTTTTAATTTTAAACTCCTGCTTTATGCCTGCTCCATATTTAATAAAGACAATTTTTTAAAATGAGGCCTACAGCAGTGTGAGCAGGGTGCTATTTATATAGGAAAGGGGGCTTCTCCCCCCAGCACCAGGGTCCCTAGGACATTCTGTGCAGCTGGAGAAATGGACACCTGTGAGGACGGGGTGAGCGGCCGAGGACCAGGCAGGAGGGAGACCTGCCTAAACGTTTGGAATGGTGAATCGCATAAAAACCAACTGGAATTAAAGCCATAAATTGAAAGAGAAGACAGCGAGAAAGGCAGAGTGGGAAGGAGGAGGTGAAAGGGAAGGCGGAGGGGAGGAACCCAGTCCCGGTCTCCGCAGGGACCCGGCAGAGGCACAGACGGAGCTGCCAGCCGGAAAGCTGTGCCCTCGCCCCGCGCGGACCCCAGACCCCAGCCCTGAAGGCGCTCGTGGGGCCTAAGACAGGGATGAGCCCAGCGGCCCAGGCCGACGCTGGCTCTGCAATCTCGTTTCCAGAGCTGATGCTCCCCCTGGCTCCTTCCCTGACCTTGCTCTTTATCTGCGAACTTCGCTCCCCCACAAGGTCCAGGGACGCCTTTGAAGTGGGTTCAGAGTCCTCGGTGGGGCGGCATTCTCCTCGGGCCTCCGATCCTCCCCTCAAGGACCCAGTGTCCTCGCCCCACGGCCTCATCCAAACCAGCT